CATCACACGCCCAAGTCTTCGGCCGCCTTATTCACGCACGCCGTCTCTATCGCACGCCTAGTCCTCGGCGGCTTCGGTCACCCGCGCGCGCTACACGCGTGGCCCTTCGCGCGCGCGCCCAGCCCGCTGCCTTATTCCCGCACGTGTGTGCCCAGCACTCCTAAGCCTGCGAGGCTTAGGTCTCCGCCAGCGTCCGCGCCCCCAATCGCGACCCTCGGCCTGCGTTGCGCGCTCGTCCCCTTCTCCTCGCGCGTGCGCGCCCGTACCTGCTACGCTTATTCCTACTCGGCCTCGGCATCCTCCCGCGTGATCTTCACCCGTGCACCCAGCGCGCCCCGCGCCTCCGCTGTCCAACGCCAGCGCGTCCCGGCCACCTCCACGCACGCTGCGCCCCCGTACATGCTACGCACGCCCAGCGTCCTGCGTATCTGATACGGAAGTGGTCATCAACCCCGGTGAGTCAGACGATGAGGATGGCGATGGTCTCGATATTTGGTTGGAGAACATGTTGGAGGAGCCATCTATTCCAATCTATCAGCCATCATGCAAAAGAAATTGGCCGAGAGGGTGTGGTCCACGGGCTAAGCTAAAGCCTAAGAAGCGCAAGACCAAACGAGCACAAAGGAAACGCAAGGCGAAGACTAAGGAATTATACTGTTGGTGCAAGCCTTGTACAAGGAAAAGACGAGCTCGAAGGAAGGAGGCTAGAAGGCGTGGTTTGCGATGGGTTGACAAAGGATGGTGGATACCGGCGGAAGATTATGTGAGGTTGAAAGGTTGGGATCCATGGCCCGAACCAACGGTGACGATCGCCGACGAGAAGGACGACGGCGATCGGCTAATGGGCGAATGGCGCGCATCGGCCCATGATGCGCGCGGTTGGACGGAGCAAGATAGTGTGCGGGGGTGCACGACCGATGGTAGAGCCGCAGGATCGAGCGACATGCGGATGGTGTCGGAGGTTGATTGGGACGCATTGGCGTTCGGGGGTGTAACGCCGGGGCGCGGTTGGCGCGCGGGTGAGCAGTCCGCGGACGGGGGAGGTGCGTGCGACGCAGCGGGCGCATGGGGATGCGCAGGAGGCGATTGGAGCCCGCGGGCGATGGATGCGACGCGCGAAGGAGCAGGCNNTGGAAGCCGAGGCCGAGTAAGAGAAGGCGTCGCAGGTACGGACGCACACGCGCGAGGAGCAGGGTACGAGCGCGCAACGCAGGCCGAGGGTTGCGATTGGGGCGCACATGCGCAAGGCCTAAACCTAGCAGGCTTAGGAGTGTTGTATGGCGAGGAGCACGCGCGGGAGATGTACGGCAGGCAGGGAGCGTGCGCGGGGAGTCACGCGTGTAGTGCGCGCGCGCAAGGAACCGAGTCCGCCGAGGACTAGGCGTGCGAAAGGACGGCGCACGCACAAAGGCGGTTGGGCGGCGGGCGTGCGATAGGCGGCTGAATTACATGGGAGCAAGGGTTGAATTGTTTGGAGTGCAAGCCAAGCAAGATCAAGATCTAGTCAATTTAGGACTC